ATTAAAAAGGTAAAGATTTGGACAGAATTGGATCTACACTATATAATGAAAATTTCACATAAGTTTCAACTTATCTGGCCAAGTGGTTCTGGGTTTTTTTTAAAAGATGCCACTAAATTTTCATTAGGTTTTCTACCTCTTGAAAGACGGCGTGGCCGTTCTATGAATAAATTGGATTTCCTTTACCCAGTGATGCTATGTAACACGTTTAGTTGAAATTGGCAAAGTGTTTCTGGAGAGGAAGTCGAAAGGTTTAATTTACAATTTGACAGACAGACGAACACTGAACAAATGTAACCACTTGAGCTTAAAGCTCAGGTGAGCTTAAAGGTGCAAATGAAAAAAACAATAATTATTATACATGATAGTATACTTACATTATCTTAAGATCCATCTGTGCGTAATAACACTTATAGTGATTTCAATAGATAAAATCTTCATTCTCTCTATGAAAGTATAAAAAAAATTATAATTAGGTTCGAACTTGAAAATATTATACTGACATTTCTGTGAATGTCAAAATGTTATGAGACATCCATTTAACTTGAAAATTGAGAAATATTGGAGGAAATAAAATACATTTAAGCAACATATTTTTTAATGGACAGAGGGAATTAAAATTCAGTGATCACTATTGGAAGGTTTTACATGCACGGGAATGTACATTGTGATGCAGTGTTGTACTGTGGAATCATTATTTTTTATGGAGGTTTATAAATTTTAACAATGCCACACTTCGTCAACCATGAAATTAAATATTTTTTTCTCAACTTTTGAAAAAGTTGACCCCTCAAAATTAAAAAAAAAAAATTTACAGTATTTCTTTTCTTCTGATCAGAGACATAAAGAACAAATGAATAAATAATTATTTATATGTATATTTCTGCTCTGATTTAATAGGTCTTTATATTTAAAAATAAATGACTGCTAATACCAGTGCATAACTGCAAAAGGCTAAAATGTCTTTTTTCTAGATGCTAGCAGCATATTTTAGTCTTCTGTTAAATCTGTAGAATGTAGAGCATCTGTAGAGCTACCCTGTATAATTACATGAAGTTCTGCAGCTAACAAGAGTTTTCTTGGCTTTTGTAGAGTAGAAAAGGAAAGAAATATAGAAATACATTAATACATTCAAGCATTATCTTTTATCTGAAAACAAATCAGTTTGACACTGTAATCTTGCAAAATTAATTAATGTATTGCAATATGCAATTTCCATGTGCAAATCTGATCTACAGACTTTCAGAGTAAAAGCAACAGTAAAATGACCTTTGCCGCGGAAACAAGGATCCCTCTTATATTGCTAAGCATAGTAATATATCTGAAGAAATTGACTTGAGAAAGTATCTTTTCATAACCCCCCACCCCCACCCACCCACCCACACACACACAAAATCCTGATATTAAAAAGGTTTCACAGGGATTTTTGCCGCAGAAACAAGGATCCCTCTTATATTGGTAAGCATAGTTATATATCTGAAGGAATTGATTTAAGAAAGTATCTTTTCATACCCCACCCCCCCCCCCCTCCTGAAATCGAAAAGGTTTTTCAGGGATTTTTTTTTAATTTTTTATTCTTGCATGTCAAACTTTTCATGTTTGATATCTGTTAAAGTTAATGTGGAACACCCCATCCCAACTCCATCCACCCCCACTCATCCACCGCAAAAAATAATGTTTGATCCCCAACCTGAATTTCAATGTTTTAAATGTATTTATAAAAAATAATGTTTCATTTTAAGAACATTTAGAACTGTTATATAAATTTAAATAATGATAAAAATATCTGTGATAATAACATGTACATATATATATTAGGCATTATAATAACAAAATAATGTAGAGAAAACCTGTTCGATAGATGTCAGTCTTGATTGTCTTGACTGCATTATTCGTGTTATTAATTTATTTGCATCAAATAAGAAATGAATATAATTCCTACAGTTTCTGTAACTTCTGCGAAAAGGAAAAATATTTATAAATTGAAGTAATGTGTTTGGCGATTTTTGGATAATATACAAAGGAAACTAATTCAGTTGGATTTTATTTGCATTTAGTTACCAGTTTACTGTAAACAGATGAATGGAGAAAATTCGGATAAGGAAGAAAACGATTGATTTTAGAAATAAATATATGTATTTTTTAAAATTGTATTACCTGATTTGTCCTAAGGTTTTTATTGTTGACAAGATTCCAAGCTTATGAATCTTTTTTCCTCTTGAAACAAGATGAGTTTTCTTTGAGTAAGTGCTCCAGAACATCCAAAGGTTGCCGACATTTTTTGTTTCTTTCACAGAAGAGCTTCCAAAGGAGGTAATACATGACAATAAAAGATGCGAAAAGTACCCATCAGTATGATAAAAAATCCTTTCAATTTAAGCCCACTTAAGAATACTTCTCAATTTTAATTTTGATATAAACGGTAATTATGTTCATCTTTTTGAGAATAGCATCAGATATTTATTTTCTTGTTGTAGATTTGAGAATTCAGTCACTGAAACAGGGTCAAAAATAGGCTGAGTGCATGTAGAAAAACTAATAGAAATTAAAAAGTTTTTGTTCACATGCAGACAAAATGAAAAAAAAATGTTTTTTTTTTTAAATAGTTTTAATCAGTTTTATGAATATTTGTTGATTTTTTATTTGTTGTACTATGCAAAAGTAATGCAAATTGACTGAATTTGAATCTTTCTAAAGCGTGTATTTTACTTACTTTGATATATGGTTACCTTAAAAACGATTTGGCTAATCATTATAGAATTTTACCAGAAATGATAAAACTGATAAAGAAGTTTAATAATGCAAAAATCCCAAAACATTTTCAATTTTATATTTTCCATCAATTACACTGAGCAAGCTTGATGATTCGTGACATGAGAAACATGGGACAAGTCCTTTAAATATAGTAACATATAAGAGACCATGTCACGAATCATCAAGCTTGCTCAGTTATTGTCGCCTATGACGTATCATGGTCACGTGATCGCTAATTAACTTGGATTTTTAACGGAGGAGTTTTTATTTTAATCAATAATGTTTAATTACCGCGGTATTTACGCAGTAAAAACTCGAAATTTATAAACTGTGATCATGGGGAAATAAATACCGCGGTAATTAAATGGCTGATCGGCTGAATACGTTAATTTTACTAAATTGCACGCGATAAAAACTGGTTTTTCTGCGTTATGGTCGACAAAATCACTGAATTTGTCTGTATGAAGTTGAATATTCAACATTATATGTTTGAACTGTCTGCAAGAAAAAATCTGAAAAATCTGTAATCACGGTAAATTAACCTGTTAGCGAGGGAGACAAGGCGAAGACGAAGAAACTTGCCTGCACAATATAATTATATAATTTGTCATCATAAATTCATTTTTTTTAATAAATTTTATACTTAAATTGAAACAAGTTCATACTTCTATAGTAATTGAAAAGCATGCAAGATTTTTTTCAGAATTTTTTTTATTATCCTGCATTTGTCGTTGAGAACTTCGTTTGTTAAAGCGACACTGTGACGCACAAACGGGAAAATTGACAAACGCTGTGCGTAGAATTTTTGCATGACCCGTGCAAATTTTGTTCAATTCCTGAAAGTATAAGGTTTCAGAAAATTACAGGTTTGGGAACCTAAAAATTTGTTTTTATGGAGAAAAAAATAATTTCTGTATGGCCCAACACGAAAACATTGATTTACTTTTCCCTCATTATTGTACGCGTGAGCAGAAAAGTTGAAGTTACCATGGTCTCAAGTACCAAAACATGAATGTTGGTAGACCAAGAAAAAAAAAAGAAGATTATTTAAACATATTTCTCACTTTTGCATGCTCCGGTAGATACAACCTTCGTTTTTCCGGCTCTTATAGTGTGCAGTCTTTTCTTGCTTTGCAGTACAAGTTTAGTTGTCATATCTTCGCTATACTCATAATTTTCATTAATCTTTCGCTTTATGATACAGATATCTTAAAAGAAACACATGATTTTGACTCATTTTGTAACTTTAAAAGTATGCAGTTTCTCATCTCTCTATCACTAAATTGTCGCATTTGACGTCACAGCAGTATGGCTCCGTAATCCGATTGAAATATGCGTATCGCCGTATTTGAATTTCAACTCTAAATTTCTCTTAAATATGCTTACAACAACCTTAATTTTATTTAGTATCTTAATAAACAAGGTTGTAGGTAATATTTTTCATAAAATTACGTATTTTTTTTAAAAAACATGGGACAAATCCTATAAGTCTCTAGTGATGGCTTGGCAGACAGGATTATAGTTGTAGGGTGAAGAAGAACATGAACACCTTGGAGGACTATGTTTCAGATTTTTGATATCTAGGCACTGTAGAGTTTTTGTTTTTTGTTGTTGTTTTTTTTTTTTTGTTTTTTGTTTTTTTGTTTTTTTGTTTTTTGTTTTTTTTTTTGTAATTAAAAACATTGGAAGCAATATTCGATGTATATTTGCAAGAAATGAAAGGTGTGGACTTCAATTTGATATATAGTGGAATACAAGAGTTTACCCTTTTGTGATTAAGAATATAACTTATATTAACTGCGTCATATAAAACGTACTAAATATACTATTTAACATTTAGCTCAGCATTATATATCATACAAAATATATACAATATACAATTTTAACATTTTGCTCTATATTAGATACCATACAAAATTTATTCAAAATACCTTTTTAAAATTTAAATCTATATCAGATATCATACAAAATCGGTTCAGTGCATCATTTTAATATCTCAGTATCAGACATAATTTTGAGGGTTCAGTCATTTTCATTAAAAAATCGATCTATCAGGATAGTAAGATATAGACTACGTAACAACCAGCCAATCACTTTTTCGAAATACATTGAGGTTTTCATATTTATAGCTGCTAGCTTGAGGATAAACTTGCAATTTCTTTACAGGATCCCTATTGTTAGTATATTACAGAAAGAACAATATGAGCAATCTTTGGACTGTCTTTTTAATTGCTGCCTATTTTACAATGTCTCAGGCGACCATGTTTTCTCGGAGATATGCCAGAAACCTGTACTTTGATAATAAAAAGTCGGACCACGAACTTTTAGGAGAGTATTCTATATCGTTTAAAGACTGCGCAGAGAAGTGTCGTAAAGATTGTGGAGTCTTTGGATATAATGATGGATTGAAGAAGTGCCGGCTCCACAGGAATCTCAACACTTCTTTGGTGTCTGAGGAGGCAGGCTGGAAATATTTTTTTCATTATCGTATGTATTACTTTTCCATATTTTTTTTTTTAAAATAAATCACTAAAAGCACTAGAAAGGGATCATTTGCTATCATTGCACTAATCTATTATTGCATTATTATTGTACTATTGTTGCACTTGTATAAGATCGAAGATCAAAAAACATTTTCCTCAGTAATATCAAAAACAATACCTTGTCATACTGTATCTTGTCTCATATTTAGCATTCTCCCCCTATTAATTCTAAATGACATTATATTTTATGTTACTAATTTATTTATTATTCTGATTTCGATCTAATTGTTTTTATTATTATTATTATTATTATTATTATTATTATTATATATATATATATATATATATATATATATATATATATATATATATATATATATATATATATATATATATATATATATATATATATATATATATTTTTTTTTTTTTTTTTTTTTTTTTTTTTTTTTTCCATACATTTTGTCTATATATGCATTTTGTTGACCTTAGCATTGAATAATAATATTCTGAAAATATACTATATAGAAATTACATTATTGAAGGATAAACAAGAGTCAATGCTGAATAATTTTCTTTTATTTCATTCTTGTTCAAAGTCAGAAGGGGAAGTGTGAATTTGTGAGAGAGTGTGAGCAAAAATGTCATTATGTTACTTAATATGTCTCTTTTTCAAAAAAAGAGTAAATGCTGAAAGGGGAGATTATTGTTAATATTATTATTGATATTAATAATAAATATTATTATTAGATTATTATTGATATTAATAATATAATTTTTAAAGATTTCTGCCCTTGTACAATTTTGAGCCAGTAGAAATTCCAAATTTGAAATAAACTTGATATTAGGAATATCCGCTCCTAAACCAGGAACGATAACTTTAAATATTATAGTTTAATGTTTAAAAGGGCTCAAAATGAAGCTTGAAATTGGATTTTTTTTTCTTTTCATGGAACAATTCCCACTTCAGGCATCTCAATACGATTCAAGTTCCTTCGAAATGTTCGAGACGGTTTTTTTAAATGTTCACATCTGCTTCCTAGAAAAGTACAAAAATATTCCTTTAATCTAGACTTAGATACCAATACTATTTTGTATGATGTGAAATTAAAAGTAATGATAGCACAAGCTTTTTACATCATTTATTCTATAACAATTGAAATTAAAAAAAAAAAAACTAGGATATTTTATCAAATAAATGATAAAATTGATATAATAAATGATATAAAATACCGCATGTGTATTGAAAAAAAAACATACAATTGAAATTTTAAAAAAAAACTAGGATATTTTATCAAATAAATGATAAAATTGATATAATAAATGATATAAAATACCGCATGTGTATTGAAAAAAAACATGCAATACTTACTTAATTTTACATCAGAGAAATAATAACGATCATTTGATTGGTTGCTTGGAAGTAGCTATGTAAACAAACTGAAGAAAATAAAAAAAAAAAAGATAGGGGAAATCCACGATAGATGTATCTATTATCTGCACTCTTTGGTAGGAAAAAAGTTTTGTTAGGAGTAATGACAGGAGCCTGATACAGCAGTTGCTGGACAAACATGTAGCAATGCATCTTTCTTTAAAAGGATTTTTTAAGTTTAGAAAACCAGTATAGTTAGGATTGATCGAACTCGCTAATGTTTTCAACACTGAACTGTTATTTTGAATAATCTCATATTTAGATAGAAAACTTGAGTATAAGTTGGTTTTCCAGATGTAAAATTAAAACCAAGTTCTTCTAAAATACATTATTAATAATGTTCCTGATAAACAAAGATGATATTGTTACAAGTGGCCTTGTCTGCTGGAACCATAACATATTAAATATTTTTAATATTGGTCATGTAGTCTTCCTTTTTCTTTTATAATTAATTTGGTGAAAACGGAAGAAAAGAATAACTTTTAACATTCTAATACGATTCGGATCCTTCGGATGAGACTTTAAAAACCGAGGCCCCGTGTCACGGCAGGCGTTGGCACGATAAATATCCCTGACTGCTCTATTGCCCTGAGTGCCGAGTACAGGTTTAGAAGCCCTTCACCGGTATATGGTGATGTCTCTATATGAGTGAAAATGTTCAAATGGGATGTAAAACGACATACAATAAATCAATCTAATACGGTTCCTTGATATAATTCTAATGAGTGAGACGTTAATTGTCAAACAACTGACTACAGTATCCTTTCAATTTGCTATGTTTGATAATTATCGATTTTTAAAAACTTAATAATTACCTATGGAAGCTAAGCATATTGTCTTATCTCGTCTTTCTGAACCCTGTGTGCTACAAAGCGACGCGAAATTTCCGGTAACTGAAAAAAAGAGTCTGACGGCAAAAAAAAAAAAAAAAAAAAAAAAAAAAAAAAAAAAAAAAAAAAAAAAAAAGGGGGTAAGTGACAAGGGAAACACAAGACATATCTATTCCCAATCCACGATCCACCACAGTTTAAAAGGGTTACTAAACTTGTGAGTTATGGAAGATTTTAAGCACCAGTTGGAAATTTTATGTGCCATTTCAACTAAATTAGTCGCCAATTAGAGCTATGAAGTGAGTTATAATTTTCAATTATATGTACAAAACATCATGGAAAATTGGCAATAATTATGTTTACTTATAAGTAGCACTATACATTTATAAACTATTTGAAGTCGATGGGTTCGGCAAAATATATTTTGCCAGAGAAGGGTCAATAAATGTTTTATTACACCTTTTACTATTACGTCATTTTAGGACTGCTCAGTTAAACATTTCAAATGTTTTACAGACTTTTAAAAAGAACGTTCTTAAAGGTTTAACAATAGCTTTTGTTTCAATGTTTAAAAGCATCCTGTGATCAAGAAAATTTTTCTTCTTAAATAATCATTTAAATATTACCAATAAAAATCGAGTTCATTAGTCATTGACAATACAATGTATTTGAATAAAAATAAATTAAAAAAAATTATACAACCATAATCCAATTTAGATCTATAAAATAAATGTTTGCGTTAGAGTGTTAATTTCATTTAAGATCACATTCCAATTATTACAATTATTTCCGATGAAGCTTACAATTATTTCTGGTTAAGCTTACAATAGTTTCTGATTAAGCTTACAATTATTTCCGATTAAGCTTGCAAGTACTGTGTTTTCCATCCTTAATAACCTTATATATCTCTGCACGTGTTTGTATGTCTTTATCTTGTCATTTAAAATGCCGTGTTGAAAATACAATTCTCGCTTTTTTTTCTGTTTCAGTTTTACCTGTAGATTGTAAGGACCTCCTTGATAATGGTCACAATTATACAGGTGTGTACGACATCTATCCCTATGGTACCAGCTCCCTCCCTGTAAGAGTGTACTGTGATTTGGAGACAATGGGCGGAGGATGGACGGTATGTAGTTTATCAATACAGCTTTACAATTTCTGTATACAATACCCTTGTAATTTGATTGAGATTTGATGTTCTTTAGGGTATGGGTATATAGTATATACCTGTAATTTGATTGAGATCAAATACAGGTATATATCTACATAATAAGTCAACTAATATGTATCTTTTCAAGGCATTTCAAATGAGAAAATACGGATCCCCGAGCTTTGACAGGAATTGGGCAGACTACAAGAATGGTTTTGGTGAACCGGAAAAGGACCTCTGGATCGGTAAATATAAATCTTTGATCCAGTTCAGAATTTGGAAGAATAATATTTAAAGAAAGACTCCAAAATAGTAGCGAATTAAAGATTTGCTTAATACTTTCTAATTTACATTAATTGAAAATGTTTTTTTTAATTTTTTTAAAAGGAATGTTGAAATATATTTTTACGCTAGCAATTTTAAGCAGAATGTTTAATTTTGCACAATTTTAAATCAACTAAAGTTTTGGTTTTAGTCGTAAGTTCTTTTGTAAAACGGGTCCCAGGTTTTTAGACTAGTTTTAAAGTATGTATTAATATGTATTTTGCAACATTTGTTGACTGTGTGTTATTAAAATCTTAAATAAAATTCTGTAGTTCACCAAATTTTTGCAACAACTTATTTTCGAGAGATAAGTATTTGGTATTTAAAAGCGAGATAAAATTGTGACTTGTGTTATATAATTCCTTAAAAATACGCAAGAACTTTTCGCAAGCAGATTGTCTCGGGACAATTAAGTTCTCGTAAATTAAAAATGATTTAAAGAATATTAAATTTAAAAGCTGCAAGGGATTAAGGAAGTAAAGAAGTTATTTTTTTTTAACTGACTATATTCAGTTTTCCAAAACGACAATAACTACCAAAATTGTATGTATATTAGAATTACCAAGCATGGATTTTTAAAATGTTTTTAAATATTTAATATATTTTATTTTTAATATTTTTTAATATTTCACTTAGCAATGTTTTATGATACTCTCTTAACGTATAATTATTTTTTTAATGTCTTTGCATTATAACAATTGATTGATTTCGAATCTACCTTAAAACAGGAAATGACGTGATCCATCAATTAACAAAGAGAGCGGCCTCATCCCTCTATGTTTCTATCAAACTAGAGAATGGTACCAGACTGTACGAGATGTATGATCGCTTCTCCATTTCCAATGAAACAGAGAAGTATAAACTCTTTCTGGCGGGACCTGCCACGGGAACCCTAGGTATGTAACAGGTAGTGTGTACCTACAAAGGAAAGAGAGAGAGAGAGAGAGAGAGAGAGAGAGAGAGAGGAACCTTAGCTACGTGACCGATAGTGTGTACCACACAAAGGAGAGAGAGGGAGGGCGAAGAGAGAGAGATGGGAACCTTAGGTACGTGACAGATAGTGTGTACCCTACAAAGGAAAGAGAGAGAGGGAGGGAGAGGAGAGAGAGATGGGAACCTTGGGTACGTGACAGTGTGTACCCTACAAAGGAGAGAGAGAGAGAGAGAGAGAGAGAGAGAGAGAGAGGGGGAGGGAGGGAGGGAGGGAGAAGAGAGAGAGATGGGAACGTTAGGTACGTGACAGATAAAGTGTACCCTACAAAGGAGAGAGAGAGAGGGAGATGGGAACCTTGGGTATGTGACAGATAGTGTGTACCATACAAAGGAAAGAGGGAGGGAGAGAGAGAGAGGAAGGGAGAGACGGGAACTTTAGGTGCGTGACAGGTACTGTGTGTACCATACAAAGGAAAGAGAGAGAGAGAGAGAGATGATAGCCTTACTTACGTGACAGATAGTGTGTACCATACAAAAGAGAGAAAGAGGGATGGAGAGGAAGGGAGGGATGTCGAAATATGTATCATAATAAAAACAACAGTATTTTGAACACTGACCAATATACATGTGATGTAAGGTACTATTTTAAAAATGTTATTTCAAACATATATACGCCATATGTTACACAAACATTATTTATTGTACTATTAAAATACTCTGACTTTTTATTTAAAGATTGCTCTGATAGAAAAAAATCCGAGTACATCATATCTGTTTTTTTGTGGTGAGTACATAACACCTGTATCGTGTCGTAGTACATCCCACCTGAATCGTGTGGGAGTACATCACAACTGTATCGTGTCGTAAAACATCACACCTGTATCGTGTCGTAGTATATCACACCTGTATCGTGTTAGAGTACATCACACCTTTATCGTGTCGAAGTATATCACAATTGTATCGTGTGGGAGTACATCACAACTGTAAGGCCGCAAAACATTAACTGGCAAAATTGGAAATATGCAGCTTACGTCATTTCTATGTGTTACAATCAAAACATTTAATGATTGACAATGAAATGGGAGGGTACAAATCGACACGGACGTCTGAGAATACATTGGATTGAAATTCTAGTTTGAATTTCATGTTCAGTCCACCTCAGCTGCCCTTGAACTGCTTGACAAAGACAAATAATTTCAATTTCGGAATAATTTGAAATTTTTATTAACCAGAATTTTCAGTCCAGTGTTTTGAAAGAAATTTAAAGGGACAAATATATGATTTCTGTTTGGTATGTGTAAATGTGTGCTGGGAGGGGGGCTGAACGATCTTGGAAATAAATAAGAAAGTTTTTTTTTCGTCTTTTTTTAGTTTGAACAACCCCTCCATGTTTTTGTTTGTCAAACATTTTTCAGTGAAGAAAAAACTTTTTAAAAAAGCTCTTGTCATCCTAGAAATAAATATATTTTGTCATGTGAGGGCATAATCTGACTTCACAATTTTTGCACTATAGTTTTGACGTCAAGTACGGTATTATGACGTAACAATAGAGATATTCATGCTCATCTCATGGTAGTTCATGAGAAAATGAACAATCTTTTAATTTGCAAAGAATCTTAAGGAAAAATACTTGGAAATGTAAATATTTTTATTTGAATGCATTTTAAAGTGCAAAATTTTTCTCGTGTTTTAATTGTAACTCTTCTTTCAAAGAGGATGAATGTAACATATAAAACGTATATGAATAATAAAGACAGGAATTTTCAAAAAATGAATTAATCGACAGTTTATACTTAGGCTGAATAATCAACATTTAACATTTTACCGTACGTAGAAAAGCAAATGTAATGATATATAGACAAGAGATAGATAAACTTAAACTGTCATTGACAGGTGCTTGACACTGCTTGCAACACATTTTTATCAACTAAAGTTATTGTGCTAAATATAGTATTAACAAAATTTACCGTAATTTCATTAATTTGAATTTTAAAAAAAAATCTTGAAATTAACAGATTTCGGAATTTGGTACGATTAAAAAATGCAGCTATTTATATTTTTAAAGTATATGTAAAAGAATCATACTGCAATATGTACATTGTATTTAATAATACCAGGCGTATTACTACCAGTCAAAATATATTATCAAGATAGTAATTATTAGTCCCATACCGGTGAAGCCGGAGGGGTCTATAAGTTTCCTCATCGTCTGTACGCATATTTGTCCGTCCGTCTCTCTGTCTATCTGTCAGTCTGTTCCACTTAGTTTTTTGCACTTTTCTCTAAACGCTTGCAGATATTGAGCTGGTTTTGGTATTTATAGTGTATCCTGATGAGAAACAGAGTTTGAAATTCAAGTATAAATTCTGCTTCATTGATTTTTGACGGAATATTACAAATAAAAAAAAAAGGGGATGGGGGTCGGCGTTTTTTTGTTTTGTTTTGTTTCTTTTTTTTTTTAAATCGCATATATTGAGCTGATTTTTGTTTTGGTATATGTTTCAAACTTGGGTTATAGACCAAGTTTGCATTTTCTTCCGCTTCAATGATTTTTTTTAAATAGGGCATTTCCAATTTTTAATGGAAACCAGGTCATACTTGGTGTGCCGATAGTGGACTATTATTGCTAATACAGTGCTTACAGAATGTATGAATAAATAGCCAAATGATAATAAAAAAAACTAAAATACATTGAGTGCATGTCTTCTATTCATTCTTAAACTTAAAAGTATTTACGCACATAAAGAGGTGCATTATGTTTTCAGCAAAAATGAGACAATCCAGGCAAGCGAGGACCTACATGTAATTCCTCGCGCTTCCCAACTACCTTTTGATGCTTATGTTGTTTCACCAACTCTAGTTACTATTTGATTTTCTAGATCATATCCGCAATTTGTAAATACCAAATGTATGTGTTAAATCATATCCTGTAGAAATGTACAAATCAACATCAACATCCAGTCTTAAAAGTAATCTACGTTCCCTACATGTAGACCACATGGAAATATATGTGAACCTTCTCTAACAGATTGTTAATTCAAAGGAATGGCTATAACCATATCCATGATAAAGAACGTTAATGAATGGACTAATTCTTAAACTTTTCTTTAGTTCAGTCAGTCATTCGGAAAATGTAAGATCCGGCATCTGTTACAGTTCTGGTAATGTGTAACCCTAAATGCATCATCGGTGCATATTTCTTCAAGATAGGGATTATAGTAACATGAAAATGAGACATGTTCCAAAATATATACCCTGAGCATTCATCAAGAAAATGTAAATCAGATCTAGCATCTGAAGCAAGTCTGAAAGTGTGCATCCGAAGATGCATCATGAAGCACGTCTTCTCAACAAGTGCTTATGGCTGCACTGCTCCATAAACATTAACCTGCTTTAAAAACATTAACCTGGCTCCGGGATCATGAAACTGTCTTAAGTCTTAAGTCAGACTTAACTCCAAAAATTTGTACTTAAAATTTAAGATTGTTCTTAAAGTGGATCACAAAAAAATGACTTAGAGTTAAGATTGGAATTTTGTCTTAAATTTTAAGACTGCTCATGGGCAGTCTTAAGTTTTGAGATTGATCTTAAGTTCTTTCAAAATGGCCGCTGTTGTTGGTTTCTTGAGACGTGTTCAAGGGGGAAATGTTGATACTGTCCGGCGAAGACGGCGTCTCCCTCGTCCCAGGCTTTTCAGGGATCGGTTGAATCCACTGGACCTCCGAACAGATGACGAGTTGTTCGAGAGATATCGTTTTCGCCGCCCTACGATAATGTTTATTTACGACACCATTCAGGACAGAATAACCCATCCTACCAAGAGATCGTTGGCCCTTCCAGCGATGATTCAGCTGCTGGTTTTCCTCCGGTTTGTGGCTACGGGGGCCTTCCATCAACTTGTGGGGGATGCCATCCACATCTCCAAAGCCACGGCAGGACGATGCATCCGCAGGGTGGCATCCGCAATAGCGAATGTTGCTGGCCGTTTTATTCGCTTTCCTTCTGGACAGGATGCCACCAACGTAAAGAGAATGTTTCATGCTATCGCAGGTAAGAATCCATGGCTTTTCACTTACACATGTTTTCGAGACCTTCGCATTGAAAACAAACAACAGCGCCCCCTTGAATCAGTAAACACGTTTCGTTCTATAAGCATTTCGGTTCTACCTTTTCGACCCATATCTCAAGTCACTGTTTTAAATGCATTTATGTATCTCTTACATCTAAGAAAAAAATAAGGATCCCTCGAACATTATCAATTGTAATCATTATATATATGTGTGTTTTAGTGAGTGTGTAGTGTTACTAAATTACATGTATATATACAATATGTGACAGAAAAGGGGGGTGGGTGGGGGGTAACTCCAAAATCAGTCATATTGTACTTTGAAATCTTTACTATTCTACTCTTCATAACTTTATTATCATGTTCAGTAAATAATTAATCCTATTTTGATATGTTCATAACTATAACTTCTGTATGATTTTAAAAATAAAAAGGGAATCAGATATCATCAAAAGGTATATATATTTACTCACACAAACAAATTGAAAACTTATGATATTTGCTGCTATTGGCCTGATGAAAATATTAATCTATGAAATCTATTTATTGTAGGGTTCCCTGGTGTCTTGGGATGTGTTGATGGTACTTTTATCCGCATCCAAACTCCTACTGAAAATGAGCCTGATTATGTGAATAGAAAAGGATATCATTCTTTAAATGTCATGGTAATTGTTTTTTGATTAAAAATGATTTTAAATTAAAAAAAAAAACATTAAAAGAGCTAAATAAGCTTTCAATGATTTAAATTTAGAAATAAAGTAGGCAATAAATCCGCTTATATGTGAATCCATCACAATCATTGACTTTAAAGATAAATAACATGCATGTATTATGAAAATTAAATTTACAAACAATAAATTAATGTTTAATTTGATCATATATCAGATGACCTGTGATGCTAATTT